AATATTTACTCATTACCCAACACCGCATTCGCCACCATAGGCTGTTTGGATTCGAACTGGAGTTTCGTTGCGCATCGCCGCTTATATAAAGCCAAAACGAGGCTACGAGAACGTTCCAGAGTGCTATCTAGTAGCGAACGCTTTCACGATTATCATGGAAGAGTTCTTATTATTTATTTTTATTGTAAATGCTATTCTGGCAGAAATACCTACTACTAATTACTAGTGGGACAGATCGCAATCATTAAAATTAATTGTATTAAAATAAAATAATTGTTTTTGATTTAAACTTAAACAGTAAAGTAAAATTAAATTTGAGAAACCATCAGATAATTTTAAATTAGGCACGCTATTTCTGTCAAATAATATTGAATAAATGAGTGTGGGGAAATTGGGGGGACGCGAACAATTTTTTTAGCAAAAAGGGGCCGCGGTTTAAAAAAGTTTGGGAAACTCTGCACTATTATTTTTTTATTCTTTATTAAGTTTTTCTTTACCTAATTTAATTCATTCCTGCCACGACAAATCATTGTATAATCAAAAGAGATATTAAAACATAATTATGATTTCTTTGACAAGTAATTTAATATTGGTGTGTACCGAAATAAATTTTAAATTGATCTTACAGATAAGTAAGTAATAAGTTTTTTGTCGTTTTATGTTGCCCAACGACACCTGGGTGAGGTGATAGCTACAATTACCCTCCTCGCTTTATCAAAAAAAGACCAATAAGTCTTAAAATATCCATTTACTTTTCGATATATTTCTTATACATCGAAATATTTTCGAAATATTTCTGATATATCGAAATTTCGTATTTTTTAATAAACCGTTCTAGAAGAAGCATTTCAAAATACTTCGCAATGCGAACTCATCACTTTATAGCCCCCCATAAAATTGTTAGACCCTCCGAGATATAGTAAATTGATCACCGGCATCCTTTGGAGATAGGTAAACTCATCACCGCAGATAGGTAAACTGATCACCAGTATTTTTGCCCCAATGCGCTGGTTTCTAATGCGGAAGATTGCCAGTTACCTGGTACATTTCTCGTTTATGTGGTAATTTATTAAATTTAGAAATTATTGTAAGCAAATTACTTTGAAATAGATATTAATATCGATTTTTTACGGTGTGGCGTACATTCGACGTATCTGCCAATCTAAGCGGTTTTGAGATGTGAAAATTCAGTTGCATAGTATCGTTAGTGAACTTTATAATGAAAATATTTATGTACATGTGCTGTTTCCATTTATATCGGAAATAGTCCTGAACTTGTTAACTAATTATAAATCTATTTATTATGCCAGAATAAATCAAAATGCTTAAGTACAGTCTACTGGCTTTTATAAACGGTTAAATATTGTCTTATTCTTATTGCAATTGTCCACAAAAGCAATTCGATTTTAAAGTCTTTCGCAATTATTGATATCTATCATTTTTTGTCCACGTTAGCTCAAAACGTAACGAGCAGCTTACTATCCATGTTAGAGGAACAAAGGAAAATAAAGATAAATTATTTTTAGGCGTATAGTTTTAGGTATATATAGGTCTATAAATAGAATTTTGAAGAATTCGCAAATAAAAACCAATAAGTTACATTTACATTTAATATATCTTAGCGGTTTGCAAGGGGTTTATGGTCTATACCTGCCACGGGGTGCAGGTAGGCGATGAGTAGACTTCGGCAAATATGCAAATAAAAATGTAGAAAATATGCGCATAAATATGCACGTGTTTACCCGAAAATATGCAAATATTTTACAAAATATGCATACAAATAAATAAAAAAATCGTAAAATAGTAACAATTTTATTTTATTTAAAAAAAAGTGTACATAACTAAATATTTCCTACTATTCATTAAGATTTACATTTATTTTAAGTAACTACTTCATTTTTAAGTATGAATAAACTTATTTAGAAATATGGTAACAATAAATGACCAAGTGGTGTTTAAAATTTTCTAACAAAAACTTGTGACTTCTGTCTGAGTACATATATTTATATATGGAAAAACTTCGTTCAACATCAACTGATGTAACGGGAGCATTTTTCAAACTAACCAAAACATTTGGTTCTAAATTGTTTCCGAAAGATTTCCAGCTAGAACAGTGACTACTTCAGAAAGAATATGGTAACCTTAATTTTTTTCCATAGTAGCTTCAAATTTTTTTAAAATATCTTTTCCAATATTACCTCTAACGTTCCGACAACATGACGCAAATTCTTTTATTAATGCTGTACTTTCGAACAATGACAGTTTTGGTGATTCTAACTGAGTAATTGCTTTTTGAACAAAACTAAAATTTTATTTTATAAATGAAAGTTCTTGTTGAAGCAAGTTACTCTGAAAAGTTTGTTTACAATCCAAAAGAGATTGGGAACTTTCATCTGTTAACGTATCAATTATGTTCTTTATTTTAACAAACTGATCTGCATAAAAATTAGCTGCTTCTAACCATGTTCCCCATCGCGTTAAAATAGGTTGTGGTGGAAGAGGAATGTTAGGTAGCATTTCTTTATAAAGTTGAATTCTTATAGGAGATTTAAGAAATACTTTTTTGACACTGGATATCATTGTATTTACAAGAGGAAACTTTTTTCGTATTTCCTCTGCAACTCTGTTTAATCCATGCGCTACACAAGTAACATGTATTAAATCTGGGAAAAATATTTTTCAATTTTGTCCTGCTTTCACCATATAAGGAGCAGCATCCTATAAAATAAGCAGTAATTTATTAGAAGGAATAGTTGTCGGAAGAAAAAAAGTTGCTAATGTTTCTTGTATAAAACGCGAAATTGTTAAAGCATTTGTTTTCTCAAGTTGCTGGCATGAAATAAGATGAGCTTTTGGTAAGGTATCTTCTTTAAGAACACCAATCAATAAATGAGCAATATACTTTCCTGAGGAATCAGTGGTTTCGTCTACAGACATGTAAAAATAATTATCTGCAATTTCTTCCTTAATATTAATTAACACCGACGAGTATAGCCCGTTCACATTAATTCTTCTTAGAGACCGATCACTTGGAACATTAAGTTTGCAATATTTTTTTAGAAACGAACTAAAATTTACATTTGCTAATTTTGAAAGCGGTATGTTTGCAGACACTAATGCGCGACACAAGTCTTCATTAAAAGTTTTTTGCTCATCTAATTTTTTTGAAGTAGATTGGAAACATTTAGCCATTGAAGTTTGATGCTTTCCTCCTATTTTTCCTTTTTTTGCAATGTGTGAAGCAGTTCTCACATGTTGGTCTATCTGAAATTTCTTCTCACATGCTATCTATAAATAAAAATAAAAACCTTTATTTTAACCCAACCTTTAAAATATAAAAATATACAAGGTGTTTTTGGTTAATCAAATAACTGGTTTGAAAAAAAAAACACTCACTAAGTGTTTTAACTGCAGTATTAATCCACAAATTAGTTTTTGTTACTAACCATTAGTACATCATATAACTTATTTTAAAATTCAACAAAAGTTTTTTTTTGTTAATTCAATTACAATTAAAATAATTTTGTTTTAGAATAGCTGACTTCATAAAAAAAGTAAAGGTGAAAAATTTTTCTAAATACACACCATTGTATTGTACCATGGACAATTTTTTCTCACTAAAGGAAGCTATTTTTCATTTAAAAACAACCTACGAGTACTAAATTTCAAGTAAATACGTTTATTGGTTTTAAAGTTATTGTTGTTATTAACTAAAAGAATTTATTTTTTTTTTAATTTTAACACCCTGTATCTCGAAAAGTAAATAAGTTTGACCCCTCATTAACTATATCGTTTTGTTCAATTTTTCGAGAAGTATCTACAGTCAAACGTTGTAAGTGTCATTTGGAAACACCCTGTATGTATGAAATATTAGATATTTAATAGAAAATATTAGATACTTACAATTTTGCCACAGACTGAACAATAGATTTTTCCCATATCCATAGACAGCTCTTTTTAAGGTTTAATCCAAGTTGAAGCACTGGTTGTTTTAGGCATTATAAAATCACAATCTTCTTTTTTGTTACGCACAACGAGTGTTTACGCTTTGAATATCAAAACAAAAATGATTTACAAATCTGAGCATCAAATTAGAAATGTTTAGGTACCTAATTCAATAAACTGGGAGATTTTGGAAAATCCCTAAATTAGGAACAAAACTATTAGCCGTTTACCTGCTGTTAAGATACAATAAATTGTAGATAGATTTGGGGATTAGATCATAAAATGCAAATGAGCGAACCCTTAGCGATTATCCATTAACTGAATGCCTCAGTGACCGAGACTTTCTAAGAATGTTGAGGGCTACTTAAATTGATCTTCTTTGAAATTGTAAATGTTTTGTACCTGTAGAGATTACGTACTTAGATCATTTCTTGATTAAAATGACTACAAAATGTTATACAAGAATTGAAATAAATCGGTATGTTTAAAAATTTTCAAATACAGTATAAAAATCTGAACTTTTATGCACTTTATGCAAACTTTTATACAAATATGCCAAAATATGAAATATTTGCATAAAATATGCACAATATGCAAAATATGCAATATGCATATTTGCCGAAGTCTAGCGATGAGTTACCAATCTCTTGGGGTCTGTTTGAAAATCCCTACTTTTATGGCGGTGATGAGTTTCTACTATGTACGAGGATATCTATGGTAATTGGTGATGAGTTTACGTGTACCCACTAATACCTATACAAGTGGTTTTGACTGATTTCACCTCTGGATACGTTAAGTACTTCAGTTTTGACAACTAACAGTTTTCCGTTTGTTCTAAACAAACACTTTCAAGGATAGTGAACCGTTCAGATGGAATAAGGGAAGTAAGATAAGAGACAAATATTGATAAATAAAATTAATATTAAAATAAAAAGAACAGCTCTCTCCATTACTTCCACTAGTTGATAAAATCGATTTTTCTATTTGTGTCAATGTTTTTTGTTTGTGTGTTTGTGTCAACAAACCGTTTGATTAAATAAGATTAAAATAATTACCTCAAATGGAACTACGCTGCTACCCCAATTAAATATGCCAGATACAGTATCCTTTACTTTATCAAATATACTTCCAATCCCAAGAAATCTTAACTGTGGTGAGTCGGGAAAATTCAGTGTTCTTAAGGTTATATTCTCCTTTTCCAATCTAAAAGTGTTAACAAAAAAATAACCAAATATCTGTACTGTTTGCTACTTTGCGCTGAAATGTAAAAGTAATATTTTACCCCAAAAACACATGGCACACATTTGAACTAGGACTGGTTCAGCGTCGTATTTAAAGTCAATTTATTAAATTGTGGTATATATTGAAGAGTTGTTTTATATCGGTATTACTAGTAATACAGTTTTAGTCTTTTTTATGTGAATCATTTTTAATATACATCTTTTGCTGTAGTTGTGTTCAGTGATCTAAAAAATACATCAACTACAATATTTCTAAGAGATTTATTGCCATTAGGAGCCACAGATTACACCCTTTAAAAGACTACCAGAAAATTGTTACGACCACAACAACATATTCCGCATATCCAAACGAGTAACGGACATTGGCCACGCACTGATGACGCAAAGGCAAATATACTTCTGGAACAATTGGAAACTTCCTTTACTCCATTTCCCTGTGAGTTACAACCAAAGGATGAGGAAAATATTTATAGATATATGAACTGGCCATACTAGATGTCTCTGCCTATTAAACCTTGCCAAATTTTTGACAAGGTGAAAGAAGAACCTGATATACTCGACAATGAAGTAAGATAGGCTATCAACAAGCTCAAATATAACAAAACACCAAGTCCAGATATGATAACAGCAGAAATGCTTAAAGCCACAGAAGAAACCGGCGTAAAGTTACTTCATCTACTCTGTAACCAAATATGGCATTCCAAACAATGGCCTGAAGACTGGACAAAATCTACAATAACGACCATACATAAAAAAGGCAGCTTCCATAAATGCGACAATTATAGAACTATTTCTCTTATATCCCATGCCAGCAAGATAATGCTACATATTATAATCAATGAGAGACTGAAAACATTCCTTCAAAGAGAAATTCCACAAGAGCAAACTGGATTTACCAAAGGTAGAGGCACTCGAGAACACCTGCTGAATATAAGACAGATAATCGAGAAATCTAGGGAATTCAACATCCCACTATACATCTGTTTTATAGATTACCGTAAAGCGTTCGACAGGGTCAAGTGGAGACACTTATGGCGAATACTAAAAGAAGTAGGCGTACCACAACATCTAATTACGCTTATAACCGAACTATATGAACACACTACTGGATCAGTTAAAGTACTTGACACACTTTCGAACGAGTTTTATCCAGAACGGGGTGTCAGACAAGGATGTATACTATCTCCACAATTATTCAACATATATGGGGAGTATATTATGCGAAGAGCACTTGAAGGATGGGAAAAGGGCATCTCAATAAATGGTCATAAACTAAACAACCTACGTTGCGCAGATGACACAGCCCTTCTTGCAAATAGTCAACTTTGACACAAATGCAAATTGCAAATTGCAACAAATGGAACTTATACGACTGATCGAAAACGAAAGTAAAATATTTGGTCTGCAATTAAAACATATCAAAGATAAAGATCATGATAGTGGACAGACTACACAACAATCATCCACACATAACCACAATTGACCGGTTCGAGGTTGTGAGCTCATACTTATATCTGGGATCATTAATCACAAACACAGGGTCATTACAAGAACAGATTAAACGTAGATGTGATCTAGCAAAAGTTGCCACAGCAAAAATGACCAAAATATGAAAGAACTGTCCAATTTTCAAGAACGATAAAGATGAGGTTGATCAACTGCTTAATATTCCCAATACTGACGTACGGATGTGAATCTTGGACACTGAGACAATCGGAGAGAAGAAAGATAGACGCCACTGAAATGTTCTGTTGTAGATGAATGTTACGAATTCCTTGGACCGACCGTAGAACAAATAATTCAATTTTAAAAGAGCTAAAAGTTAGCCAACGACTCTCTAGTAAAGTCCATCTCCAACAATTAAAATATTTTGGGCATGTTATGAGAGCAAACACAGAAAACATGAAAAGACTCATAATACAAGGAAAGGTAGAAGGCCGAAGATCACGAGGAAGATCCCCAACAAGATGGATAGATCAAATTACAGGAATATGCAAAAGACCTATGCATGAATTAAAAGAAATGACCAGATACAGAGATCTCTGGAGACGGACAATACACGACATCACGTCGACCACTACACTCCCCCTGGGGGGTCAGGATTGAAGAGAGAGAGGTTATGAGCTGATTACTTTATTTGTCTTATGTCAATTACCACAAAATGCAATTCTCTTATTACCACACATCTACAACGCAGTATTAAGATTAGAATATTTTCCTTGACAATCGAGGAAAGTAGCTCAAGTTATTTTAATCTATGAAATGGGGACAGCTTTAGACTCCATATCTTCATATAGACCCATTGGTTTGTTAAATTATTGCTAAAATTCTTAAGAAACTAATAATAATTTCCTTTCCTAATAAACTTAATAATAATAAGATCTTTCCTAGAAGAAAACTGCTTAGTTCCTGACTTTTTATTCTTTGGGTGCCGTGTCCGTATTCAGACGTTGGCCGTCATCATATTTACAATTTCCTGAGTCCTTTCTCTGTCGGCTGCTGTGCGGAATAATTCTTCTACTGTGGAACCACACCATTGTCTAATATTACACAGCCATAAAAGTTTCTTTCGACCAATCCATCTCTATCCTTTCACTTTTCCTTGTATTATAAGGCGAAGTAGATGGTATTTAGGTCCTCTAATTATATGGCCGAAGTATTCTGTTTTTCTACTCTTTATGGTGTTTATGAGCAGACGTTCTGAATTGATCGTTTGAGGAACATCTTCATTGGAAGTGTGCGAAACCCACGATATATTTAGGATTCGTCTATAGCACCACAATTCAAATGCTTCTAACTTGTTTAGCATTGTGGTTTTTAACGTCCATGTCTCACAACCATACAATAGGATGGACCATACATAACATTTCAGGATCTTCTTACAAATATTCATCGACAGGTTTCTGATACATAAAACTGTTTTCCAGGTCATAAAAGCCTTATGAGATATTCCGATCCTGGTTATTATCTCTTCATCAGAGTCACAATTTACATTTAACCAGCTTCCAAGTTCCTAACTACCAATTTGATTTTTGACAAAAACACGTTGCAATTGACCAAGTACACAGAGCTGTTAATATCATAAACCAGGATTTAAAGAAAACATGAAGACTTCTTGGACACCAACAAGGTTTTGATAAAGTGTAACATACAGGCTTGCTCTATAAAATTAAACAACTACCATCTAAATACTATAAGATATTTAAATCCTACATAAGAGACATATTTTCAGATAAAATATGGTACGCTAATAACACTATTGAGACCTACAAACTCTGGCACACCTCAAGGTAGTGTGCTTGGTCCACTCTTATATCTATTAAACACGATCGACCTACCCACTTCTGATCAGTGTTCTGGCAATATTTGCTAATGATACCGTCATCCTCGCGTCGTACACTAATTCGAAGCATGTAGAGGGTTACAAGTACACTTAAACACCATTCAGATGTGGTTAAGAAAATGGCGAATCAAGGTTCACATCTTCAATAAACGAAAACAACTTGGTTTAAAATTAAGACAACTTTACTGGTTACTTGAAAGAAGATCTGAAGTATTACTAAAAAATTAGTAGTGTGTAAAGTAATTCTACATTCCACCTGGACCTATTGCATTAAACTATGGGGGTGTGTAAACAAATCCAATAGTGAAATCCTGCAGAGGTTCCAATCGAAGGTCCTAAGGCAGATTATTAATGGACATGTACGTTGTTAATGTACGTCCCTAATGAAGTCATACATCGTGATCTCTTAGTGAGTATTGTGCCTGAAGAAATTAAAAAGTTTAGTGATAGTTATTTAAAGCGGTTAGAAATTCACCCAAATTCTAATGTGGTAAACCTACTGGACAACAGCAGGGAAGTGAGAAGACTTAGAGACCCAAATCCTTGGACTTACCAGATAGATTTTCATAAAAAAATTGTAATTTTTTTAATATTCCAGGAGATTCATGTAAGTACACCTTTTGTTTTATTTTTGGTAGCTACCCTATTTCAGTACTCTTGTTATTCAATTATCGATGACCCCAGCTCTCCAAATAAACCCTAAGTAACCGCTCGCAAACGTTCCGGTTTATTTTGCTTACCCTATCTCTACCCTAATAATTTCTGTCCCAATTTTCAACCATTTATAGTAATACCCTATGTGGTAGGCAAAACAAATGTTAAAAATTTTGACCAAATATGACACCAATGTTGGATATAAATTATTAAAAACATCCGGAAAATATTTTTCAAAATATAAACAAAATATTACTAAAGATAAACAGTCGAATGTTGTTTATAAAGTAACATTTACATTGTAAAAAAGTACTGCACCTCATGATATATTGGACAAAAACATCAGTATCTATATTTAAGCATGTGTTACACACAAATATAGTGTAAAAACCAATAAAATTATACAATACAGCCTTTGCTAAGCATTGACTAGAAAATGGCCGTTCTTTTGATTTTGAAAATATAGAGATATTAGAAAAAACCAAAACTACAAGAAAAGATGCATATTAGAAATGATTCAGATTTGTGATGAGAAGATCAAAATTGTATCAATAATAAGACCAATAAAAAAGTTTCCTGCAATATATATCACAATTTAATAAATTAGGTTTTCGGTATATGCTCCATTAATTGGCACACATTTTATATACGACCCTGAATCAGTCATAGTTCAAGTGTGTGCCACATGTTTTTAGAGTAAAATATTACTTTTGCATTATATCGTAAACTAGTAAACAGTAATTTTTATATATTTAAAGTACCTATTGAAAATGGCAAAGATATCTGAAACGGTTAAGCACTAATTAAGTGTTTTATTTTTAGCAGACCGACAAATCCAGGAAATCAAATAAATTTTCTTTAAAAATTTACGGTCAGGAAATAACAATAAATAAGTCGTTCTAAAACATTTTAAAAATAAACTTTTTGGTTTCCTAGTAATTACAAGAAATTTAATATATACAGAAGTTTTAATTATATCAAGTAAACCTTTACTTTTGTCTCATTATGATCTCGCGCTCCGAGATTCCGTAAGTCTGAGCAATTTGAGAAAATATGTAGAAAGTTATTATTGCTTTCCATTCATTATAAGCTAGTTTGCGTCCACTGCTGAACATAGATCTCTCGTAAATAAATCCAGTGCACTGATCTTGAGTGCCGCGAATTCAGTAGTTGGAGAATGTCTTAGATTACGATAAGCATCGTCTTGATTCTAAAATTCAAATGGTCCATCTTCCATCTCTGACTTTGGCAACATGTGCTGCCCAGTTTCATTTTAGCGTTTTAATTCTTTTACCTGTGTCCGTAACTGCCTTACGTATTACGCATTTCGAATCCTGTCACATCGATTATCTTCAATGTTTTCAGATGTTTTTGTCAGTACTAGTCTACAAAAGCCAGTAGGTATTCTTAATAAAACCCGTAATACTTTCTCATTTGAAGTAATGCAATGTTTACTAATTTAATACTACGTAATTCTATAAAAGGGTTTCCTATTCCATTGCAAGTCTAATCTATTTGTCTAATTTAGTGGCATGTGGTGTCAAGATGAAAACGAAATTTGGTGGAATCCAAACTTAATTTTTCTTGCTTAATTTTGTTCAATTTCTTAAGCAGTTTCATATCACTGTGAAGCAGATCAATATTACGTTAGTGCCTTTATGACTGATTAAGTGTCAGTCATAATGATATTGTAATATTTCCGACATTTTCTGGGAAAGTTTAACTGGGCTATGCTGCTTGTGAGTTTTCACTTGAAAGAACATGACATTTTGCTGAGGCTTCTCTCTGCTGTTTCAAAGTCACTTAATGGCATTCCTGTTTAGCTTATAAATTGTATCTTTAGCTCATCCATTATTGCAATTTAACTTTTTTTAACAAAACTATATTTCCTTGTTATGTTGTGTTTAGTTTGCCAACGCTGACTTTCATTAAAGCTAAATGGTTGGTATTAAGTACCACCTTTTTGTATAATATATTGGTATATTTAAGATCCCTTTTAACTATATCACAGAGAATATTATCTTTTTCCCAATTATGATGATGTTATTAACGTTTCCTTGACAAAAAGTGATCAGCCTCTAGTTGTTGATATGATAAAAGCTTCCCTGCCCTTTGTTTGTTTTCTCTACTCTTTTACAAAGTAGTAAATCGATAATTCTACCATAAAAATTCCTGTAGGTTAATCGATCGTCGATATTAGTCTCTGTATCGAAAGTTGATCTGATTTTACAAGAGGAGGCCGAATTAAATACGGCTTTGATTGATTTATAAATTTGATTTTTTGTAATGATTTTATTTTGTAATTATTTTTTGAATATTAGTTTTTTTATATGTAATAATAAAACAAAGAAAATTATATATATTTTTTAGGTTACTTACTCCTGTTTCACTTTGTCAAAGAATTCATCTGGATTGTCAACAATTTTATCCACAGCTACAAATAACTCTTGCAAGTCTCCACTGTAACAAAATATTACTAAAAATGTTGACTTATTATTAAATCAAAATTAAATCAAAAAAAATTATATAAAAAATGTTTTTTATTGAATATTATATGGAACCCCTGCATAGAATAACGTTGCAACTAACATTTTTGGCGATTTTGACTTACAGTGTTTTTCTTGAATAACTTTTTACGCTCTATCTGCCAACATGGTCGGTGTGGATGTAACTGCAATAATAAGAAAGTTAAACGACGTTGAATCAAATCAAATTTTCGTCGAAAAATACTGTATCGTACCATCGTATATTAAAATATTTCTCATATTTCAAAAACAACACCATTACTGTTGTTACAATTTTATTCGCCGCATTGGAAAGTTTTCGAATGGAATAATACCGTAAATATTAAAAAAAAATTGAATTATTTGTAAAATAACAGACTAACTACAGATATGACGTTGAATCAAATCAAATTTTCGTCGAAAAGTATTGTATCGTACTATAGTGCATTAAAATAATTCTCATATTTCAAAAACTACACCATAACTGTTGTTACAATTTTATTCGCCGCATTGGCTGCCAAGTATTAATAATTAGGCAGGTACATACTATACGTCGTGTGTCAATATTTCGCGGCATTACTTTGAGAATAGTAGGGGAAAATAGACAAGACAGATCTTGATTGTTTCCCGGTCCCGGTGTTTAGTTTAGTTTTCCCGGTCCCAACTTAAAAGTGGTTGTACGGACAAATGTATCCAAAAGTGCCAAGAAAAACTGAATATTACAACAAGACAACAACTTTTTAAAGAGTTTTGGAAAATGGGAGATCACAAACTTCTTACGTTTGGTTACTAGACACACAAGAACTTATATAAAAAAATGTTTCTTGATATGTTTGAAATAACCGATAGTTGGGGAATGACAATGTCTAAAAAGATGTCAGAGAGTGAAGTTGGTATAATGGTTGAAGATATGCGTGGAAAACACACCACTCGGCCACAACAAGTAGCAGAAGAAATAAAAGAGACTGTTCGAAAACACATATCGTCTAATCCAGCAGTAGACATTACCTTAGAAAAAAAAACAAAAAAATTATATTTTAAAAAGAAACTGAATATTTCTAATTTTTTTTATTTGTATACGGAGTGGATGCAGAAAGAACATCCTATCTCGTCTACTGCAACATTAAGACAATACCGTGAGATATTCAACAGTGCATTTAACATCAAGTTTTTTAAACCAAAAAAAGACCAGTGTGTCTTCTGTCATGTTTACCCAAATGCAGGCGAAGACGAAAAAGCAGAGATAGATCTGAAGTACACTAACCATATTGGTAATAAGACTGTTGTTAGACAACTTCAGGAAAGGGATAAAGAGATCGCTAAAAATTTAATGGAAACTATAGTTGCTTGTTACGACTTGCAGAAAGTTCTCACCACACCTCAGTCTGAACTGTCAATGTTTTACTATAAACGAAAATAATGCGTTTATAATTTCACAATATTTGACATAAGACGCAATGATGGATTTTGCTACATGTGAGATAAAACCAGAGGAAGAAGGGAGCTAACGAAATATGTAGCAGTGTTTATAATTTCATTGCAACTAATGTTTTAAAAAGATAGAAAAATTTTATATTTTATAGTGATAATTGCGGAGGACAAAATAGAAACACAATAATATTTGCGATGTATTCTTTTGCAGTTGAAAAATTTTCTATAAACATAACGCACAATTATTTTAGGGTAGGTCATTCCCAAAATGAGGGAGATTCCATGCAAGCCTTAATAGAGCGACGTAAAAAGAACCAAACAGTTTTTATTCCCGAACAATGGATATAACTTAGTAAGATATTTGGTAACTGACTGCACAATGACAATATATTTGATTTTAAAAAACTTTTAAAACAACATTTCCAAATTGGTATATAAATGAAGAAAATGAAAAAATTTTCTGGAACATGGTGAAACACATAAATATTTCTGAAACAAATCCTGACGCGGTGAATATTCAATATGATTTCATACATACATATATGCCGGTTTAGAACGTCCTTCTCCGTTATCCGACATCTAACTTCCATCCTCTTCTATCGTGTCAATCTTCCGTTGATAGATTCCGTTCGCTCATTGACTTCAATATGATTTCATTTCAATTTTTTTTTATCGGATATGAAATCAATATGATTTCATATCCGATAAAAAAAAACTAAGTTAAACTTGCTATAGAAACCTATCTCCAGGAAACAAAAAAGGTTTCTAAACCACTTCTAGTAAAGGTCTTTCTAAGAATCTACATCTAGCATAATTATCTTATCTAGGGATAACAATAGCAAAATATGATCTGCAGAGTTTATTTCGAAGCCAGTGCATTCCTGTCACTTACCACGATTATTTTAAAAATCACCCAGTTTATTGCAAAAACATTAATCAAGACAGCGATATGGAAGACTAGACATAAAATAAATATGCTCATTTTAAATTTAATTCGAATTTATATTTAGTTTGTAATGAAATTTTCATTTTAAAAACTATCTACTGTTATTATTCCTTAACCTACAACGAGCAATAATTTGAAATTCATATTAACTTTTCCGATGAGAAACTTTATATTTATATCAAAAACTGCAACTGCCACAGTTCAAAAACCTATTCTCTAATAAAAAAAAGTAGACCTTATTCTAAAAGAGGAGTTCAACATTTATATAACTCCTTACTTCTTACATTAAAAAAATGTCACATATAAAAAAAGAAATCAAAGAAATTGGTTTTTTTTATCATTTCTGAAAAATATCATAAATGCTGGTTACAACGTTATTCTGTGCAGAGGTCGATATATGATGATAGATTATGTAATTATCCCGACAAAGGAAGCTGCCTAAGGGACACGATAACCAGTATTTATTTGCTCCACTCTACCCTTGTTATAGTAGTTGAGATACCTCTCCTGTTAGGTACCTTCGTAACACTTATAGCAGTAAATTCTGGTTGTCAGTTCTTTAGTGTTTGTTTTTTATTTTAACCCACATTTTGGTACCTGTAGGTTTTGTTATTCATGAGATTATTTTGGCATATTCTGATCATTACTACTTACGTAATCTTATAATTACTTACGTAATATACAAAATATCTACTACTTAGTTGCAGGAGAAAAACCAAAAAGTCTACAATTGAAAATGGGAAGTATAAAGTCAACCAAATCCGTAAAATACTTGGGACATATTTGGGAGTCCAAATAACATCAAAAGCAGGGAGTAACGAAGAAAATCATTCTTGAATTGGCCAAGCAATAAAGGCCATTAGACAGCTACATGGACTATTGCGAAATAATAAAATAACAAAATAAAATAAAAGGAGAATAAAAGTATTGGGTTGTACTTCGGGGAACTCTGGAAATAAATCATAGAAACAAATAAAAAATTAAGGCCATGGAATTAGAATATTAAGGACGATTAGGCTAACTAGACTTGATAGGATGAGGAACGTAGACATTAGGTGAGAAATTAAAATTAACTCAGACATAGTAGACACTACAAAAGCGAAAAGCATAAACTGGTATGGACACATGCAGAGAATGCATGAAAATAGATGACCAAAAAGATAGAAAAATGGACTTTGCCCACTACAAGGAAACGAGGTAGACCAAAACGGTCATGGAGAGAAGATGTCGAAGATACAATGACCGCAAAGTAAAGATTGCTTACATAGAAAACACTGGAAATTAAAATGTGAGAAAATTCTATATAAAGATTTAATTTAATGTTTATTTACTGACTTGCCATTTTTTTACAAAGCAACCTAAATTTAGCTTAAACTATTAAAACTTCTTCTTCTTAGGGCGCCTGTCCGTTCCGAATGTTGGCGATCATTCTGGTTATGATGACTTTGTTGGTTGCTATACAAAAGAGCTGTGTTGAGGTCTTTCTATACCATGCTCTCAGGTTAGCAAGCCAGGATATTCTTCTTTGTCCTGGGGCCCTTCTTCCTTTAATTTTACTTTGCAAAATGCATTGAAGTAGCTCGTATCTGCCTTGATTTCTCATTATATGTCCCAAGTGGTGCAGCATGTTGACCAAATCCACGGTTGTTTTCATCCTTCGCAGTACTGTTTCATTGGTAATTCAACTATTAACACACAACTCTGTAAGGTACTTACAGTATAATTTCGATTATGAAATTTTTAGTAAAATAAGTCTTGGGATCTGGTGTATCTAAAGGGAGTACGGAATTAAACCTTTTCTAAAAGAGCACTAGCATCAATGCCTCATCGTATTCATTTATATAATTATGCTACATTTAGCAATATTCGCCTTTCTTCAAGAGTAGGCAATTTAAGTAAAGATTGCAAATCAATGCATTCAATTTCATTTGCAGGCATTTTCAATTTAAAAGCAATAAATCTTAAGAACTTTTTCTGTACTCTTTCTTATAGATTTTTGTAGCATTAATATTAAGGAGACCAAATATTGCTACCATATTCCAAAACCGATCCAATAAGGAAACAGTAGATATTTTTGAGGCAATAAATATTATGAAATTCAGAGAGGCTACGTTTCATGAAGCCTAAACGGAAAGTCTAACGAATGTGTTCTAAATCTTCACCACCGCAGTGGTTAGCGTACAGACGCGCCACATTCTTTGGCGGCTATAAACGAAACTAATATAATAATATCGTTTTCTGTCCTCTGGGCTATGCGAAATGTGTAAAAGATTAAAAATCTTCTAACAAAAACTGCTATCGCTTTGTTGAATTAAATGGCCAAATATATGGCATAGAAGAACAAGTTCAATAAACTTCCCGTGCTCGGATCCATATCAATAAAGTGTTATGAATCATGTCGGCCTTATCAGATACTTGGGTGATATTAATTCAAACTCGGAAAGTCCAACGAATGTCTCCTAAATCTTCACCACCGCAGTGGTGAGCGTACAGAGGCGCCACCTGCTTTGCCGGCCATAAACGAAAACAATATAATAATATCGTTTCCCGTCCTCTGGGCTATGCGAAATGTGTAAAAGATTAAACCTTCTAGCAACAGCTGCTATCGCTTTGTTGAAGTAAATGGCCAAATACATAGCTTAGGAAAACCAATTCATTAAACTTCCGTGCTCGAATCGGTATCAATAAAGTGTTATGAATTATTTCGGCCTATACCAGTTTCATCAGACACTGGGGCTGATACAAATTCAAACTCGGAAAGTCCAACGAATGCCCCTAAATGTTGTTTTTATTTATTGATATTGACTGTATTTCCCAAAGTACTCGATTAAGTTTAAAACGAGTTCTTGTGTTTGTGATAAGTAAAAGTTTTTCCACACCTAATCTAAAAAAATTCAATAAAATATTTTTTTTCACTTTGCAGAAATTTAAATAAAATCATTCCTTAACTGTGTGACCAAAGTTAACTTTGTATGTTAGCTAATGGCAAAATAAAATATACTTACCGTAACATTTAAAACTTCAATATAAAATTAGTTGTGAAAACAACTCTTTGCGTAATATAAATAACTTCTAGATGTTAAAACAGGACAAAAAATTCAACGAACTGACAACTACAAGTAAACACACCAGCGTCACGAATTGCATGTAAAATCTGTAAACTTTTTTAAACGTCTTTTTTGTATTTATCTCCTTTCGACATACTGAGTCTACAGCGTTCATAATAATAACATGTATCTTTGCTTAATAACATGTGGTAGCTGGTTTGAATTTAGTTTCATACGTGGAAGACAATAATGCTAGATAAAGAGTGTGTGTTGTATCTCGCTATGTATTAATGACACACGGGTAAAGAACCAAGGGTTCAACTGTATCGTAAGATAATTTTACTTTCATATGTTTCCTATAATTTTTAAGATAATTAATTAAAAAGAATAACAGTATCTTGAAATTTTAGGTATTTTGTAAAATATACATGTTTCCGGAAAATTAGAGGATAAACGTCCCAGAACCTAAAAAAGTCACAGAGTGAAACCGTATCAGATTCGGCGTAATAGGGCAATACTTAAAGTTTTGAGAGAATATTTCGCACCTCAGCAATAACACTGTCATAAGTCCAAAATTGCCAATTTGAGTAAATCGGGTATGAAGATTATCCTTACTAATGTTGGATTATTTCTATAAATTGAATGAAAGTTTTGTTATTTTTACTTCAATAAGACTAATTTAGGTTGTTTTATCAATTAGTATTGTGCATTGTAGAAATTTGAAACTAACATATTAGTTATCAACAAATGTGTCTATGTTGCTCAAAACCCAAAGGTGTTTTTCTTCCAAAACCACAAAATTGTGATAGGATCTTTCTTCTGTTTTTCAATCAAGGAGTGCATGTTGTCCCCTTTATTTTGCTTATAACCAACAATCAAAAACTTTAAATGATCAAAGGAATATCGGGTTTGCTTACTATTTAAAGAAGTAACGAGGTTGTACATTTGTTTTTGTTCTCACCATAGCGATTATCGCAGTAAAATACAACAGGAAAGCCTTTAGAGCATTCATTTTTAAGAAATGAGTATAATCATGATTCTATCTCGTTAGATACACAGTTAACTTCTCCTTCGTACCAAATGTAGCAGAAACCATTCAATAATCGTAAGTCAAATATAGTAAAGTTATTCGTACTTAACTTTGATTTACAATTAAAGGAGTTAATGCCCCACAAGGTGTATGGAAAACTGCTTGTAAATCAAAAGAGACTGTAATACACTCACGTGCTTTGCTTCTTTGCTTATCTTTATCTTTTTAGTATGTGACAGATCTTTTTCCTTTAAATGACGATCACAATTTTTCTGTAAATTGATCTTACTCTTTGTATGTTTATACTCTGCACACATACTGCACTGATCTTCCTTAGGATGGAAATTAAAAATTCTTGAGAACATGGTGACATTCTGATAACTTTTATTTTCTTCCATACAAATTGTTTTATAATCTATAGATGTCAGCTATTTGCTGATAGCTTTCTCTATAGATGTATGTTGACTGATTAGTCATTCTTCTATGACAAATTCACAAAAAAAACCTTTTTTGATAAACAGAAAATACACCACAATGCGGCTTTCAGAATAATGTGACAGTGTTGTTGTCGAGACCCTTCGCTAGTATACCTAGTAGTATAGCTCACTTAATTTGAAAAAAATAGTTATCTAAAAATTACTGCAATACTGTCATAAGTGAGTTGTTACACTATTGTTGAATAGAGTTCTACAAATGTTGTTATAGCTATAATGGACAAAAGTCGCCATGTAGCGCTTATATGACAAAATATCTTTTCGACAGTGATGCTGACTAAAGTTTAACAAAATACCTATTTATTACAACAAAAATAAAAAAATACTGAATTTCGACTTGTGACAGTGTTGTTGCTGATGTGCGATTTTATCATAAACTTTTTTGCTGACGAAGTTAATAGTATTCTCTAATATTATTTTATGAGTATATAACCTGATGGAGCATACCGACCCAGCTAGAAAAACGCTCCTTAATAGACCTATTGGTCAACGAAGAAGAGGAAAACCCAGAACAAGATTCCTAGATAACATAGACCAAGATATGAGAAATATGGAAATACTTGCTTGGCGGAGGAAGGCGATGGATAGGGACGACTGGAAGAGCTTGGGGAGGCTAGGACCCACACAGGGTTGTAAAGCCAAAATGATGATGATCCAGTTTTTTGTTCTTTCAAGATTAATTTATAAAAAGATTATAAGAGATAAAATTATACAAATAAATAAAAGTAGTAAGTAAATTCGGCATAGAAAACAAACAGTCCATTTTAAATTACCGTAACAATATAAACATAAAATATTCTAAATAGCTTACTAACAAAGAAATTCCTGTTGATGATTTTGTTGCTTGACTTCCATTTCTTAAGACGGAGATAAAAATAACAGCAACAATACAAAAAACATGTAGATTTCTCATATTGCCTTTACTGTACTCTTTCAATGAACATCAATATATAAAATAATTTATTGTTCATCATGCATGTGCAATAAAATTGAAAATTTTCATTGTGACGATAAACCCGAAAGTCGATATCATTGTTTCAATACCATAAAAGTTGCAACAGATTAAAGTGGGTGAATTCATAATCACCTCCTTCTTTTTTTAAATTAAACTTATAATAAAATTTTCGTATCTCGAATAATTAATTAGAAATATTAATGTGAAATAAATCAAAACGTAATTTTTGAGACTAATTTAATTAAATGTACTCAAATATATTTACAAGAACATAAAAGTTATTACCAGTGCTTACTTTGTACCAAAAATGAAGAATAAAACAGCATTTCTTCGAAAGAATCAATCCAGCATCTTTTTCGATTAAGCATGTGGTATATATAAAGCCCTTGAATGGTGTTGTGCAAACCAGTGGAACAACATTGTCGTGTGCATTGATTCATTATCAGTATTAAATGCGTTACAAAACTATAAAGTTACAATTAACAGCATTATATTCATATTAAATTTTTTTCAAATTCTTATGGGTTAAGGGAAATTCAGACATATTGGGTAATAGTATTGCAAATTTAATAGCTATAAGTCCACTAAAGCACCCACATACACTGTGTGTCAGCCAAATGGAATAAATTAACTAATAAATAAATGAGGGAGTATTCGAAAAAAACGGTCAAATACGTCGATTAGTATTTCTGGTTACTCATTTTTTTTTTTTCATGAAAACTTTTTATACGGGGTGTATCAGATAACGGTAGCCAATACCAACTTGCTTATTTTAAATAGAACACCCTGTATATTAATTAATTTTTAGATTCCTCAGATCATTTTAGACATTTTTTTAGTACAATGTCCTATACCCATCTCTAATTGTTTCGGAATATTATGTAAAATGCAAAAATTCACATTTCGAAAAGAAAATTATATATTTGTCGAAAGTCGCTACCATTGTCCTAATACTTCTTGTCTATTGTAAGTCTTGGTAATGGTAAGTAAGTCTTGGTAATGATAAAGTAAGCAAAAGCTATTCAAGCATTCTTTTTTGTTGAGATGTTAAAAAAATTGTTTTCTTTGGTTTAAAACGACATTACTTTATTGTTCCATGACAGAAGTAGTTGTCAGTGCTATAGTCGTTTGAATTTCATTAACCGCAACCAGAAAAATGGTTCATTTAACAAAAATGCATAAAATTACAATTATACAGATGATTGACTGTAGATTAGACACGGATGGATATCTTAAGTGACAATTAGTAAAATAGAGAAGCAATTCCACGAGCTGAGCCATATTAGGAAGGTAAAAAAAAGCTGTCACTGCAATAAGTGAGGGGATACCAAATTGGCTGTTATGCTTGAGTTTGAGGAACACCTACATACATCTTTTCGAAAAACAACCTCAGTACTCGATATTACCTATTCATCGGTATACAAATATCCACTAGGAAACTAGTGGATAGAAGTTCCTGTTTACGTTCCGGTTTACAAATATTACAAATATCACAAGAAAACAAAATGCCTCCCTATAAAATTATACACACTCAGGAGCTCATGGAAGATGATTTTGACAGGAGAACATATTTTTGTGAACAAATGATGGCAATGTTAGATAGCAATGTGATCCAATTAGAACATGTTTTGTTTTCTGATGAGGGCATCTTTACTCTTCACGGTCATGCTAATTGATAAAATTGTAGCTATTTGTCCAGGGAAAATCCTCACTGAATGAGAGAAGGTAATACTTAATACCCTGAGAAGGTTAACGTGTGCGCAGGAATTATTGAAAATCAGATCATAGGTCCCTTTTTCATAGATGGCAATTTGAATGGCGAAAATTATGAGTTCCAGAGAAAATGATATGGTTTCAACAAGATAGAGCACCATCCCACTACCAAATCTATGTCCGACAGTACTTTAACTAAATATTTCCAAATCGGTGGAGAGGCGAGAATCGATGGAATGGCCACCACGATCCCCCGATTTGACGCCATTAGGTTTTTTATAATGGGAATATGTGAAAAGTATTGTATATAAAACTAAACCCACTGACTTAGCTGACTCACGAAGACGAATAACGCTTACGATTAGATCGATCACATCTGAGATGTTAAGTAACGTTAGAAGAAATTTCTATTCACGGTTAGGGTGTTGCCACGTTCCCACGTTAGTGGGGAGCATTTTAAACATCTCCTACATTGGGATTATTGTTTAGATTTGTATTATTCAGAAGTTTTTGAATATGTTGTAGCGACTTTTGGCAAATAGATAATTTTCTTTTATAAATGTAAATTTTTGCATTTTACTTAATATTTCCGAAATAGTCAAAGATATGTATAGGATATTTTATTTAGAAAATGTCTAAAATAATCTGAGGAATCTAAAAATTAATTAATATACAGGGTGTTCGATTTAAAATAAGCAAGTTGCTATTGGCCACCGTTATCTGATACACCCTGTATAAACAGTTTTTATGGAAAAAAATGCGCAACTATACTAATTGACTTATTTGACCGTTTTTTCGAATACTCCTTCATTTTTTATTAGCTAATTTATTCGATTTGGCTGACACACAGTGTATATTCATTGAACAATTTAACACATCTGATCTCCTTGCATATATAAAACAGCATATTAAATCTAAATGGGATAGACGTTGGATTTAGTTTAGTTTAGTGAAACTACAGGCACTCATTTGTTTTTACAACAAAAAATGGTTGCGAACCAATTTTACTATTGTTATGTTGTGGCACTATAATAAGTTAATATTGCTTCCCAAAGCTATCGCCTCATCTGTCTTTTTCCATGCATCAGTAAGCTATATGAAAGGATGCTGCTAGTACGCATAGACGACATGATTGAGAGATCAGGTGGTTTATCTCGGAGGCAATTTGGTTTTTGTAAAGGGAAAAGCAAAATGCATGCAATCATGAGTGTACTCGAAGCATTGCACAACAGAGGGAATTAACATCGCTGGGCGGCCCTGCTGTTGTTTGATGTTAAGAATGCATTCAATACGCTGCAGTGGAACGAGGTAATGAAGGCAAAGTAGGAGAGAGAATGTCCTGGTTACCTGATGAATGTTATGGCGGAGTATCTGTCCGAGAGAAGGATTATGATGGAAAAGGGCACGAACGTGGACGTGACGGCCGGGGTACCCCAGGGATCTGTCTTGGGCCCGACGCTATGGAATCTGACATATGACAAGGTTATGCACTGTAAATACGGAGATGGTACAACCCCCTTCGCATTCGCGGATGACTTCGCTGTACTGGTAGTAGCCCGGGATGAGCCAGATCTCAAATATCGGGTTCGGAACGCAGGTGGCGTCGTAAAGAAATGGATGACGCAGCACGGACTAAAACTTGCGACAGAGAAAACCGAAGCCATTATTCTGAAGGGGACAAGGAACACGCAAGGTGTTGAATTAAAATGTGCGGGAGTATGTCTAACACCAAAGAAACAAGTAAAGTATCTAGGAGTGACATTGCACCAGAATGGAAAATGGGGGGAACACGTTCGGGAGGTAGTACGAAAGGCTGCAATAGTGCAGCTGCGTTGGGAAGAGTGATGCCGAACATTGGAGGACCCAAATCCGAAAGGAGGAGGGTCTTACACGGTGTTGTACAGTCTATCGTCCTCTTCGCGGCACCAGTCTGGAGCGAGGCGGTAGAGATAACGGCCTATAGGAGTCTTATAAAACGAGTAGACAGAACAAGTCTGTTGCGAGTGGCATGCGCCTACAGGACTGTGTCTGCGGCAGCCTTATGGACCATCACTGGATGTGTTCCGTTGCATGTTTTGGCGGTGGAAAGAAAAGAGCTTTATGAGAGAAGAGGCCCAAACCTTACTGTGGCTGAGAGAAGACAGGTAAGGGAAAGGTCAGTTGAAAGATGGCAAGAAGAATGGAACAATACGGAGGATGTGGCACAGTGGACGAAAATGCTGATCCCGAATATAAGAGCTTGGGTGGACTGTGGCCACAGGCGATTGGATTATTTCCTGACGCAGGTGCTCACAGGACACGGGTGTTTTAGGGCCTACCTTTATAGGATCGGTAAGGCTGATACAGATGAATGCCTATATTGTGGATACTCGGACACTGTGACACATACGATGTTAGATTGCAGCAGATGGATAGTGGAAAGGAACAGAATGGAGAGGGAGACAGGTGTGAATTTTGTTACAGTGAGAGAAATGATTGAGAGAATGATTGAAAATAAATTAGGTTGGATTAACATACACAGTTATATCCGTGCAGTGATCAAAAAAAAGGAAGAGGAAGAAAGTCAGCTGGACCAACGGCAAAGGTAGAGGGAATGATGCTGAAAGTGAAGTTAGAACAGTGGGTCACACTTTTTGAGTTAGAATGCGTGAGTTTGACTGTGGGGAAGGAGGAAATGCCCTTCTGGGAATGATGCCGAACTAGGAGTGTGGATTTGTATGAATGGAGAATGAATGAATAAAGGTAGTGCTTCGGAAGTGATGCCGGAATTACAGCGGCCATTCCGCTTTCGGATCACTGGATGACAGAGGAGGGTCTGGTTTAGAAGGTAGGCGTTCGGAGTAGACTCGGCGACGAGAGGGCATTTTAAAGTACCTTGGGAACTATCGCCGGGAGTACGAAGAACGAATCCTGCACTAAGGTTAGTCAGGCGGCGTCCTGGACTGAGATGTCTTAGACCCCCCCTCTATAAAGACGAAAAAAAAAAAAATGTTGTTGCACGAAGTAGACAGATGTAAGTGTGGAACTTCCTCTTCTCATGGCGCCGTCCCCTTTCAAAGGTTGGCGATAAAAATTTCAATTGTAGTTTTGAAAAATGCTGTGCGGAAATATTTCTGCGGATGAGCAGTCGAACCATCTCTTCAGGTCTTTCAGCCACAAGTTATGGCGTCTTCCTACTGATCTTTTCCCATGCACTTTTCCTTCCAGTATAACTTGAAGTAATTCATATCTTTCGCCTCTCAACACACGACCCAAGTATTTCATTTTCCTCTCTTTGATTATTTTTAGTAATTCTTTTTGTTTACACATCCGAAGCAGTACATCAACATTAGTAACTCTTTGTACCCATGGAATTCTCAACATTCGTCTGT